AGCCTAATTATTTCATATTTAATGCTAAGAGAAAAGCTCATCAAATTTATAAATTAGAAGTATGAACAATATAAATAATCTTATATATCTTACTGTTCTTTCTTTTTTTACTATAATATATATATATATATATGTGTTAGGTATAAATCTTATATAAATTGAATAAATTTAATGTCCTACAAAACTTTCCTTCCAGTTTGAAATGTATAGAAATATATATATGCACAGATAGACAGACAGATAGGCTAACAAAAAGATAGAAATATTTTGAAGTGATTTCCATATCTCTTTAAATCTTAACTATATCTTAAGTTAAAACATAACTATAAAATCTTCACTATAAAAGTGGTCTGTACAATGAAATTAAGTTTAAAGTTTACTAAACACTATATTTAAGTCATTTTATATTGATAAGACTTTAGAATTTGCTGTATTTCAGATTATACAAAACTGTTTCTAAACATTACTGCCCAGCTTCAAAAGATTTGTTCACTATGGAAATAAAAATGAAAGTTATGTTTTTCCAAAATTCTCACCACAAGTTAATTCACTTTGTCCAATAACACACAAGTAGAAATTAAATCTTTCAAAAAGTTTTGTACATGGTTTGTTTAACAATTATTTATATTGATATTATGAATTATTTTTAATATAACATTTTACCTCTTAAATTAATTTAAAGAATAAAGTTCCTACAATTATTTTATTTAAATGTTAAATTGAAGTTCTAAATTAACTAAAGTGATTAGTTTAACTAATAAACTAATAGTTTAACTAATGTTAAAATTCTTACTTAACCACAAATTCAAGAAAAACGAATTGATTTTAATATAAAAAACTAGCCAAAGGCTTTTAAACATTAATTTCCTAATTTCAGATCAGTTGCTTTGTCTGCGGCTAGGAAAGTTGGTTCACTGTGCTAGACAATATTTCTCAACAGAATCTATCTTCCATATTTATAAGTTTACCATTCATCCTTGATTGAATATTGCTGCCACATATGGTCTGGTACTCCTGCTATATATTTGCAGATTCTTGATAAAATCCAAAGAAGAATCTGTAGTGCTTTTGCTTCTAACTTGATATATTGGGTTCAGTCAGTTTCCCACTGCCATAATGTAGCTTCCCTGTGCCTTTTCTATAAATACTTTCATGGTAATTGTCTTAATGAACTTTCTTCTATGGTACATAGACTTTATGAATTTAAGTGCAGTACTAGATTGGCAAAAAGGTCTCATCATTTTATAATTCATTTGGCTAAATGTAACCGTAAGTTCTATACTAATAGTTTTTTTTCTCATACTTCTTGCTTGTGGAACTCTCTTCTGGCTTCTTTGCTCTCCAGCCAACTTTGATTTTCAAAAATTTAAATGCAGTGTCAATCATTATCTGCTGTCTTATTGATTCCTCTTCTTTTATTGTTCTCATTCTTTAATAATGTTTTTCTTTTTCTTATTCTTTCACACTCAGTAACCCGTTTCGTCTTAGTGTTTTTACCACCTTGCTTGAAGTGAAATGATAAAAAAAAATGTAAAAAAATTGTTATAAAATAATTGTGTACTGTATAAATTTTTCTTGTTTAATTAGAGTCTATTTTATTTTGCCTATTTTTTTTCCAATTTGTCATTAGTTTGCTTAATGTTCTTCTGATATATAAAAATGTATATATCATATCAACTATTTTAGAAAACTGAAGTGTTTTAATTTGATAAATGTGAAGATTTCCTAATATTTGCATTAGTGTTGGAAAAATTTTCCAGGAAAATGTTACAGGAATTTCTTTGTTAATTCTTACTATAGATTTCTGTAACTGCATACTTTTTCAGGTTATAAAATAAAAGAATAATTTAAATATATTTTTATATATATATATATATATATATATATATATATATATATAGGGCTATTTAAAGGATATTTTTTTTAATTGTATTTGTACTTTAATGATAAAAAAATTATTTTCCCTTTTTTCTTCAATCTTCCCATTATTATTGTTATTATTATTATTAATAAATATAATAATATGAAAAGGAAGTTAAAAAATCAAGTGTGAAATGATTAACAATAAAAGTCCCTCGTTTTTTTTTCTCCCATATATGGATATGGTTCAAACTGAAAGAAAAAAAGACAATAATAATGGCTGAAGTGAAAATTAGGATGAAAGAGAAAAAAAGAAAAGAAAAAAAGACCAAGAATTACTCTGCCCCTAAACAGATAAATAGCAGCAGTAAAACTGTGAATGCCTCCACATGGCATTTCATGAGAAATCTTCAGTAAATATAATGAACATGTTGAGCAAAGACTTTTGCAAGTGGAAGCATGAATCAACGTGATAGACAGAAAATAGCCAGTTTGACTAGCATTCATTTCTCAAGAAACACGTTTCTTGAAACCAATGTCATCATCATTGCCCACGCACTCTATTGTCAAAATACAGAATGAAAGCACGTGATAAATAAAATATTGTTGTATCACCATTACCATGTCGCAGAAAGAAAGAGAGAAGTACAAGGTGAATGGAAGTCAGGGTATATAAAAGAGTGCAGAAGAGCAGCCTGTTCCACTTTATTCAAAACATATAAGAAATTGAATTGACCACAACTCAGAAAAAAATATTGATTTTATTTCGTGATTTACTGTTTTAGCAGAAATTTTTTTTTTTAATTATAATTTTCTGCATTTTATTCTTTGTTCTCCAAATCTCTTTTGTATTACTACTTCAAATCACCCCTCAAAAAAAAGGGTAGTAGTAATTCTTTGTTTTGCTGAACACATATTATCTTGTTTCTTTCATTTTTTTTTTTTTAAATCAGAGAAAGACTTAAACAAAAAAAATTATTCCTTTTTCTTCTACCAAAACAAAAACAAAATGACAATTAATATTTCTCTTAATAATAACCAATTTTATCTTTCTTTTTAAATTTAAAAAAAAAAAAAAATTTTTTTTTTTTTTAAACCAAATAAAATATTACCTGATATTTCTTTG